TGACTACCATTGTAGAAAACGACTCTTCTAGATGGACCAGCTAGAAGAGCGAGGTGCCCGAGAACACTGGGACCCTTTTTCCACCTGGATCCCGCTCTTTTTCGCCCTCATGTCCATCTGTTGTCAAACAAACTTGCCCCCACTTCCTCAGCGCCCCGGCTGTATCTAGACCCCCAGCTAGTTCGTGATTGTCCCTCTTGCGTTGTTTAGTGGAATCATAGCGCAGGCCAAACTTCAAAATTGGGCAGAAATAGAAAATATCTGCAACAAGCTCACTGCGACACACTGCTGTGGGGAGTATAACCGGACCGTTATGGTGAACCTAGTGAGCGGGTGTTAAACAGTTAACTGCTATTAAGTCTGACTGAACAGAGGATATTTAAAAATGATAAACACCCTAGTATTATATATTTATTATATATTTACAAAACGTGGCCCCACAAAGCATTGTCTAAGGGACCTGAATAGAGGTGGATGCCACACTTTTCAGATTTCTACACCGGTATTATTTTTGCTTTCATTATGAAATGGTATGAAATAAAAGAAAATATAAATGGATAAAATAAAAAGCCAATATAAATTGTTTTGTGAATAGAAAATACTGCCAAAATAGAAAAAAAGCTAAATTGGTATGAATATTTTTGCTGTTGTTTTATCTAATCACTACAATGGCGTAACGACACAACAATAAACCCGTAAGCAACATTATCTGGGTGCTCCCCTCCTCACCCACGCTCGCTCCATTCGTCTCCTGGTTGCGTCTTTACTCACTGTAGCAACAACGTCCTTCTCTCCCTCTTCGCTTCTTTGAAAGAACGTTTTTATTTTGGGAATTTTTTTCCGTTCTTCCAGCAGCTCTTTCCTTTTTCCCTTTCTGGAATCCGCTTCAGTACCTTTTTTTGGTATCCATCGTCGCTAACACATTGTACGTAACGGTTATGGTTTTAACCTACGCTCTGGATTACCCATAATTCCAAGTCGTATTGTAAAAAATAAAATACTCAAATTTATTTATTTATTGCCGTTTGAAACATATCATATCAGTATATTTTTTACAAACCATCTAATGAACTATACACAGTTATTAATAAAAAAGTACCACTGTCTGCTTTGCTATCGGTGTCATGTTTAAACGGCTCACCATCCTGTTGAAATCTGCCATGTGTTGTGGTATAAATACGGTCCGGTCAGTCATTCTAGATTCAGATTGGTTTAAGAGGAATTTTTTGCACCATTACATCTGCAAAGAGACGTCCTATACCACATTGCGTAGAGGGCCAACCAGGAGTCAGTGATGGGGCCCCTAAGCAGCAACTGCAGTCTCTGCTTACACCATTGAATCACTGACCACATTTTTCATAATAGTGCATTATGCCTTACCCTCAATTTTTAATTCATTAATTCAAGCTAATGGAATTTAAAAAAAATGTATAAACAGACATCTTCACTTTCTGGGGGGGATAAAATAGTTCTCACTCATAGCTCAATTATGATTGATTAAAGGTGACTGGATGTAGTTCAGAGCTTAATTTATCATCATAGACAGAATTTTAGATGTGGTTTAAATTAAGGCTATTTTACTTGAGGAAGAAAACTGACATTCCAGTGGATTTCCTTATTATTCATAAAGAGAGTTTTTTGCTTTTCGTCGGGGTGAAGGAGTCTGGGGGGGCAAAATGGACAAACTGGACTAAACCAAACTGAAGGGTGAATGCGGACACTAGGTGTCACCCTTGTGACTTTGAAATCAGCCTGCCTCCCGAAAGACTTGTTGTTATGTGGGTGGAGGGGGGGTGACAGAAAGAAAAAGACCGGCCCTAAAAGAATGTCGCCTACATTTGAATGAAAAAAGTGAGATTTCCAGGAACCAGAATGACAGCCTGTATGTTCAGAGTCTCATATTCAGTTCATCTTTTTTTTTTTTTCTTATCACCACTGTGCGGGTTTCTTTCTTGAGTGGGCTGGCGTGTGGAGCGGTGCTGCTTGTTCATATCAGAAGGAGCTGCAGCTATAAGCGAAGGAACCCTTTGAATAAGGGCCTAATTGATGTGTTGTTTCTTTTATTATGATAATGAGCTGCAGACTGCAGGTCAGCACCCTCCTCTTTGTTTAAACTTAACCCTTCTCATTTACTTACTGTTGCATATTTATCTTTGTATGATAGAAGTTAAGTATATTTTTAATATAACAGGTTGTAGATTGCCTGTATATTATCCTATAGTAGCAACATTTTTGGAGTGGGCTTAAAATGTTTTATTGATGTTTAAATTTTCAAAATGCTATTTTAAATCCTGCTTTATTGTTCTATCAATATTTCTCCATGGAAACTTTAACGTAGTCATTAGTTTATATGACTTGGAACTGATTCTTTGCTGGACCAAATACAGTTTGACTTTCGCTGCACATTAAATACAACCTGTATGCACACAAGAAAAACTTGCAAACAATTTTCAACCATTAGGCTCAAACTTGATTGAATTTAGAAGGTTGCAGGAAGTTCATATGGTCCTTTGCGTCTATGTTAATCATGATTATCTGGGAAAACCAACATTACACTATGAGCCCCAGGTATCCTTGGTCTAACATGGTATAAAAATACTTATGGATCAGAGGTGACTAGTCCTAAAGTAAAGGATTTTTACCTTCTGATGGTGCATACCTAATCAGGCAGCAGATGGCCCAAAAATAAACCTATTTAATTCTGATTTGTAGTTATGTTTAAGGACTTATTTTTAAATGAAAATGAATTAAAGTTTGTGCATACTTAAATCTAAGATATTAAAATAAATTTCACATGAAACAATATTAAATTATAGAAATACAATTTTAAAAAATCAACTAAAAGATCAGACTCCAAATTTGTATTAGTCAAGAAATACATGTAATTTTTACATAGTAAGATATCTTCCAGAACTTAACACAATTCAACCTATTTGTGCATTTAATATCACTATCACAGCCAGCCAAAAACACATGACACATGCAAATTAAGCCTATCCTTGGGGCTTCTAAGCTAGCAGAGGCACCATTACCAATACAAAGATTCTCACAAACCACGTTTTTACGGTAGTTACATTTTTCAAAAAGTAGCCTTCTTATATAGAAGAAAAGTCCCATATTTGTAGTTATGTTAGTTTGGAAGTAACATACCTCTAAATTCACAAGGTTTATCTAAAGGAAATGTATTCCAAATCAAAAGTATTTCAAGTTTAAATTGAACTATTTATCTCTTTGCAATGTTTGCATAAATTATATCTCATGAAGCTGAGTAAAATATTTCTAGTCTGCTAGTTATGTCATCAGAGATTATTTAATGTGACTATTTTAACGTCTGTGACTATTTTAACGTCTGTGCAGGGTTACATTTATTCTTTTTATGTATAAAAAAGGGGGAATTCTCTCTTTCTGCTTGGAAGTTTAATCAGGGTAACTATAGCAACCTCTCCTGACAATGAACAAGACTATCAGACCAGAACAGTATATTTATTGTTATTTATATAATAAATAAAATGTTGGGCTTAAGTGTAACATAGTGTATTCCTTAATTTAAGGTTTACAAAGTAAATCGAAAATCAGTCAACTTTGGACAGCATAAAATTTATAATTTCAGCTCTGTCGAGATTGGAGGGAGGAATAGTTTTTGATTTTTAAAGCGGGATTCTGTCAAAAAGTTGTGAGAAGTTAACTTGAACCCTGTAGCACTTGTGGTCTATTTAGTTTCCATAAATCCAAATGAGTTATTTCCAGAGACTGAAGCTAAGTGCTATTAAAAGAGACACAGGAACAGGTAAAGCAATTCTAGTGACAGAAGCGTTAACATATGAACACTATTTTCTGAGTTAACCTTTCATCGTGTTTGCATTGGACATGTATTTACACAGAAAGGAGAATTATTTGTAAGCTCAGTAGGGAGGGGTCATGCTTTACTTAGTAATAAAAAACTTTTGATAGAAAAGTCAAATAGCATGAAAATCAATAAAATTATACTCCCTCTTGCTCCTCTACAACTTTTTCTTTTTACCGTCTCATCAGTCCAGAGCACAAGTTTCACACAGGAAGGTTATTGGTCCTGCACTGCCTCCAAACTCTATTTCCTCCTGTGTAGTACTCCTTAATTTCTGTGTAAACATCCATACAATGCAAAACAATATATTTGTGTAGAGCTGGATAACAAAGCATTTGCATAAACAGCTAAGACATTTTTGGGTTGGAACTGCGAAGAATACAGTGATATTTGTGAAGCCTGTTAAACTAGCATCCTGGGGGTGCAGCTACTCTAGACTTATAACAAATAAAGATACCAGAATAAATTTCTACTGGTAGGATAATAGCTGCTTATGACATTTAGGGGAACTTCACATCAAAAGTTCTGAGTTATTAATCTGATTTCAACAATGACCCCCAAATAAAAATCTACTCGGGGTCTTATAAAAAAAACCAAAAAAAAAAAACCTGTTGACCTGTATTTCTCCTGTTCTCTGGTTCTTCAGATACCAAATGCTCTGCCAAGAGACTAACTTTGAATATCATAACAATGAAAAGCACCCACTGGTGAACCTGTGTGATGAGGAAAATGACAGGAATTAGAATCATAGATGATCAGTGCTTTTTGTAAGGGAGAAAACGAGAAGACTTCTGGAAAGTTAACCCCCACAAACTATCCTCCCCTCTATGCCTCTGCTGTATGAGCAGCTTTTTCTTCTTCTTTTTTTTTCTTTTTCTCCTGCGACCCCCATGAGAGCCGTCTCAGAGATCTCCTCCCATGGCGACCATCCTCCCCACACACATACACGCACTTTTGGAAGCAGCCCTAACTACCATCTGATATCGTGTTTAACGTGTACACCATAATTGCCTGTAGAGTCTTCCATCTGCAGGAGAACAGGTAGCTGGCCGTGTTTCATTGCTCCACTTGGCCCCACCCACCAGCAGCTCCGGCCCTCCTGAGTAACCCCTGATTGGCTGAGGGGATTGCGGGTCCTGAGACAGAGCGCTCAGCTCTGAGCTGCGCGTCTGCCAGTGCGCACCAGCGAAGCGAGAGGAGCGCTTGTTGGTGTCATCCAGACAGCCTACTGGCAACGAGTGGAGATTTCCTTTTTTTTTTTTTTCATCCCTCTTTGCCTCAGTCAGGCTGGATATAGGCTGCTGTGCCTTAGTTTTTCTTCAGCTACACATAAAAATGCTTTTTGAACGTACAGTAAGCTGTGGCATCATTTCATCCCAACTGGCTGCATTTGCAACGGATTCTTTTCTTATTTCTGTGCGCCTGGACTATTGACTTGGATCGGTTTTAAATTTTCATTGTGAGATCTGAGGGAATTATTTAAAAAGTGAAAAGAGGAAGTTGAAAAAGAGACTGAATCTACTGGAAATGAAAAGGTAATCGGGAGTTTCAATGATTTGATGAGACATTGCTGCTGCACCCCTTTTACGCAAAAGATATTTGGACTATTAAATGTTTTCCTGCCTACAAAACATTTCTCATCATAAACCCCCTTTTTTAATATTCCTGCTTACAGTTTGATAAGCAGATAATTTAACCAAATAGGCACGACGTGAATATCGACCCCTGTCAGGTCGGGGCGGTGAAATTCACACTGACTTTTCAGCTCAATCACTCCATCTGCGCGGATGATAAAGATTTCTGCGGACTTGAGTCTCTGCCGCATTTTTTCTCCTCCCATTTTCGATTAGAAAACATGGACACTCTAACATATGAATCGGACCTTTTCTGCCTGTTGAGAGCTGCACGGATTTCAGCTGCTAAGTTCCCTCTGTGAGAAGATTCATCATGTTTTTACTATTCTGTCGCCCTCAGTGTTTCTGCACCAGAGGATGTGTTCTGCTCGAGAAGAATTAGTAATTTGTTAGAATTAGTACCATCTGCATAGAAATAATCGGTCTGACTTATTTCTTTCACTGAGATGTTTCATCTGCGCGTTTTAGTCTCCTATTTTTGACGCGCATCCTTGTGCGTAAATCTCCAGAAAACACCAAAAAATCAACAGGTTCAACAGCCAAACAAGCAAGAGATGGAATCAATACAACTAACAGCCGTTTTCCTATTATTGTGGGTTGGAACTGACGCTGTTATTAACCTGAAATATGGAATAAACGAGGAGATGAAGCCCGGGTCAGTGATTGGAAACGTTACGAGGGACGCGCTCAAGCAGGGCTTCCAGATTGCGCCGCAGCCTCCTTATTTGAGGGTTATTTCCAATTCAGAACCGCGATGGGTGGAACTCAGCCCGGCCGGGATTCTTACCACCCAGATGAAGATAGATCGGGATGTAGTTTGCAGACAGAATCCGAAGTGCATTATTTCCCTAGAAGTGATGTCAAACTCCATGGAGATCTGCGTAATCAAAGTTGAAATCCAGGATTTGAACGACAACGCGCCCCGATTCCCAACGAGCCACATTGACATAGAGATTTCTGAGAACGCATCCCCCGGTACCAGGTTTCCCCTAGAGGGTGCGAGTGATCCGGATTCGGGGATCTTTGGAGTTCAATCTTATTCCATTACTCCAAACGAGCTTTTCGGTCTTGAAATAAAAACTAGAGGGGACGGATCAAAGATCGCAGAGCTTGTTGTGCAGAAATCATTAGACAGAGAGACCCAGTCCCACTATAGCTATGAAATCAGCGCAGAGGATGGAGGAGACCCTCCAAAGATAGGCGCAGTCCAGTTAAACATTAAGGTGATAGATTCCAATGATAACAACCCCGTTTTTGACGAGCCTGTTTACACGGTGAATGTGATGGAGAACTCCCCCGTCAACACATTAGTGATAGACCTGAACGCCACGGATCCTGATGAGGGCACTAATGGAGAGGTTGTGTACTCGTTTAACAGTTACGTCACCGAGAAAACCAGGGAGGCTTTCAAAATTGACCCCAGGACGGGGATCATCACTGTGAACGGCGTGTTGGATTACGAGACCACGCAGATCTACGAAATTGACGTTCAAGCCAAAGATCTGGGTCCCAACTCCATCCCCGCGCACTGCAAAGTCACAGTAAATGTGATGGACACGAACGACAACCCACCTGTGATCAGCCTGCTCTCGCTGAACACAGAGATGGTGGAAGTGAGTGAGAACGCACAGCGGGGCTATGTGATTGCGCTGGTGAGGGTGTCAGATAAGGACTCAGGAGCCAACGGGAAAGTGAAATGCACCCTGCAGGGGAACGTCCCTTTTAAGCTGCAAGAATATGAAAGCTTCTCCACCATATTGGTGGACGGGAGGCTGGATAGAGAACAGAAGGACACCTTCAACCTGACCATCCAGGCTGAGGACAGTGGCATCCCACAGTTACGTGCCACCAAATCTCTGGTGGTCAAAGTTACAGATGAGAATGACAATCCACCACATTTTCTAAAGCCGCACTATCAAGAAATGGTGATGGAGAACAACCTTCCAGGTTCCTGTCTCTTGGCGGTGTCAGCAGTAGACCCTGACCTGGGCATGAATGGGACAGTCTCATATTCCATAGTTCCTGGTGAGATTAAGCACATGGATGTAAACACGTATGTGAGCATAAACCCATCAGGCCGCATTTACTCAATGAGATCATTTGATCATGAATATACCAGAACGTTTGATTTCAAAGTCCTAGCAAGAGACAACGGTAACCCGTCCCTGTCCAGCAACGCCACCGTTCGTATTGTGGTGCTGGACGTCAATGATAATACGCCTGTGATGACAAACCCTCCGCTGGTCAATGGGACGGCAGAGGTCTCCATCCCAAGGAACGCTGGAGTGGGGTACATGGTGACCCAGGTGAAAGCTGACGATTACGATGAAGGGGAAAATGGGAGGCTGACTTACACCATCTCAGAGGGCGACAGGGCCTTCTTCGAAATCGACCAGGTGAACGGAGAGATACGTTCCACCAAGATGTTTGGGGAGAATGCCAAGTCCACCTATGAGGTCACAGTAGTGGCGAGGGACCATGGCAAGCCCTCCCTCTCTGCCTCGGCCTACATTGTGGTGTACGTCTCCCCAGACCTGAACGCCCAGGATCCCATTGGACCCGTCAACTTGTCTCTGATATTCATTATCGCCCTGGGCTCCATTGCTGCCATCCTCTTCATCACCATGATCTTTGTGGCTGTGAAGTGCAAGAGGGACAACAAGGAGATCCGGACATACAACTGCAGGTACTTAATGAAATAAAAAAAAATGTGAATGTCAGGGTTCCTACAAGTTCTTTTGATTTTTATAAATTTCTAGATTGTTCATCCAGTGGTGAACCTTGCATGACTGGGGCCGTGGGCAACCCCCTTCTTTTGCCCCCATTTTTATGCTGCTCTCAAACTATGCGGCCCTAATATCACAGCTGCATTATCAAAGCTCTTTTTGTATGTTGTTAACAATACAAAAAAGGTTTCAAAGAAATAATACTGTGTTTTAAAAAATTTATATTTTGATGATTTCAAAAATTCAAGTTAGATCTCTTGCGTCTTTTATACCTTGATCTCAAGAAGATAAAAAATATATATATTTTCATCCTGAACAGTAAATTAAATCTACATGTTAGTATAGATTAATCAGAAGCCGTGAATCAGATTCAAACTTCAGTTTCATTAGTCCATCACAATACAGGTCATATTTCTCTTGTTACACTGTTGTGCAAAACAAACTTGCATCCTATTAAAGGAAATTGTAAATAGCAGTAAAAATATATTCAGGACACAATTCACAACTATTTGAATATATAAAATCTACTATTTGCTACTGTCATGCCCAAATAGAATAGTTCCCTTGATGGTAAATCATTAAAAGAACAGCTTGTTTCAGAATTTTTTAAAGCAAAGACAATAAAGTGCAAAATGTCCTTTAAGTTCCAAAAAATAACTGAGTTCAAGAACCACCGGTTCAGTTAAAACTGGTTCTAAGAGGCTTATTAGGCCAAATATCTAACTCGAGGCTTGTTTTTAATCTAAACGTTTCCCTTGTTTTCAGAACATATGAAAATATAATGAAACAAGGATTGATTTCTGAACACCTCTGTGCCCTCCAATCATTAGTTATTATCCAGACCTTTCAATACTGGAAATTAAAGCAAGCAAACATTTATTTATTTTAGTGCTGTCAAAATTATCGCGTTATTAACGCGTTAACGCGAGGCCATTTTAACGGCGATAATTTTTTTAACGTGAGATTAACGCTATGTGGTTTTATGGTACAATTTTCCAAGTGCATCCCGCTGCAGCCTGCGGGAAGGCGGGGCTATTTTCCCCCAGTCTATGCATTTCTCATAGGCTTCCAGAGCGGAGCTCCTCAAGGAAAAAAGACGCTCATACACTGGGTGGCGCTAGTGCCTTTTCTTTAAGCCCCACCACCAACAAACAAGTTGAGTGTCTGGTAACTAGTAGCAACATGAAATACGCTGAGAAAACAGATTACTGAGGTGAAATGGAATCTGCTACGGCACTCTTGTCGGTATCGTGTGTGTGTGTGTGTGTGGGTGGGTGTGTCTGTGTGTGGGTGAGTGGGTGAGTGGGTGTGTGTGTGTTCTCATTTTTGTTAAGAGGCTGAAAAGTAACTTTCTAGAGAGCATAGACTACCTTCATCTAGTGATGTTGGTCTATTGATTTTGATGTATTGATTGAAAATTGTTCATTATTACCTTGGTTAATTAACATCTAATGTTAATTCTAATAAATTTTATAGCAGTAGGGTAAAATGCTTGTCTTTGTTCAAAAGACTGTATTAACTGTAAAGACTGTCTTTTACATCAGCCTGTTTTCAGGGCCTTTTTTTTGGCTACATATTTGTTATTTTTTGCTACATGCCTCCCCATCTTCTTGCCATATGTTTCTATGGCATAAATCAGTATCTGTGACCTGTTTTCATTTAAAAAAAGAACATTGGCACAAACCTAGCCTGTATGTATTTTTTTGTATGTCATCCAGAGTATTTAAATGATTTTCAATCAGGAAAAAAAATGTGCGATTAAAATGCGATTAATCGCGAGTTAACTCAGGCATTGATGCGATTAATCGCGATTAAAAAATTTAATCGATTGACAGCACTAATTTATTTTATTGTTATTAATATTATTGTTTTTTTTATTATTATTATCATTAGTCTCATGCTCTTGATTTACCAGTGTGACCAGTGTTTAAAGTCTGTGACAGTACAACATGACAAAAATGTAGCAGCTTAGATTTCCTCACATTAACCAGAGAGACGATTTATCACAGCTGAAGATGTGGGAAATCTTTTATTTAAAAATAATCTTTTAAGAAGAGATGTAAAACCCAGTTAAGGGATATGATATTCGATATAAAACAGATAAATGAGGTTGTAGTTGTAAAACAAAAACCTGGAAATTTACACGTTTTTTTTGTTGTTGTCCTTTTGGAATTTACTGTATAAAATACTGTAGCTTTCCTAAACTTTCTCTATTTTATCCCTGAGAAGATTTAAATTCTTTACTATTCCAGAATGCATAGGAACCCTGTATTTTGTTTGTGTCTGAATGCAATCCCTGCAGTGAACGTGCATTTTTTTTTTTTACATTGTGCATGTAGAGGCTTTGGAAGTGAAGACTGCAGATCGTTTCTACCCCTCCTCTACGCTCTCTCCCTGTCTTTCTCTCTCTCTTCTTCATAGCTCCACAGCTGAAGTGGACCTAAATGAACCCCAATGCTTTAAATCAGACACATTCTGCTGAGGCCCACTGTTCTGCATTAAGGCAAACGGTGATTGATAGATTTAATCCATCCATTGTAGCCAATTGACTCATACATACAACGGTTCGACTGTCATGTTCAATTTGCGAATGTGTTGCCGGACAATTAACGTCCCGCTGCCTCAATGGCAGTCCCGGACATTTATTATTTAACGTCCACTGTGGCTGATTGGCTGTTATCAGCTTTAATCTGCTGTGATTATGGACAGTCCTCCAGGATCACTCAGATACCCCTCTGTTTTCATCAAGGCACATCAGAAGGAACTACTCTAACATAAATGTAGGAGATTAGGCTTGTACTTTAGAGGATATCATCAGTTACATGAGTGTCATGAACTGTTTGAAGACAGGTTTAGGGATGAAAGCAGCAGATTTTTTCTCCCTCTTTTCATGCATTTATTAAAATTGTTTTCTTCATCAATTTGAGCATCAGCCCTGGCTTTGATTTTTTTTGCTTGTGCCACATTACAACTGTAAAATTTACATATAGATTGGATTTTAGAATTTAACCTGAAGCTATAACTGTATTTTGTTCTTGATGTAGTTGTCTTGATTCGAGGTTCACCTCATTGTTTTAAAAAAAAAGAAAAGATTCAGTGAAATGACCATATTCCATATCCGATTTTTGTTTCTGCCTTACCGATTTAAAGTAGTATTTGGTTTTTTTTCCAGTATATTCTTCACTGCCTATATTAGAAATGAAAATGAAGTATTTTCTCAGTAAAAGCATCAGAAATGATTGCTGCTCCACATGTGAGCGTTGACCCTAAGGAGTCATAATTCCTGTCTGACTAAAAATACTTTTTAGATGTAATTTTGAATTAGCTTTGATTGAAAATAGACAAAAGTCTGTGAAGTTAAAGCCTGATTTAAAAAAGAAAGAAACAAAAAAACATTTGCTTTTATTTAAATGTCACTCTTACATTTTGTGGAGAGAAGACACAGTGACAGACAAACAAATCTAAAAATTCAAAGCTCCTCCCAGTACTTTCCTCTCTCCCATTGTGAGCCCGTCTCCCTGCTGGGAGCTTTAATCAGCGCTGATGTGCTCTGCTTCTCAGTCACCACCTCGAATATGAGGAGCAGTTATCTTCAATTTATTGCTTGTCCTCTGTCAGTCTTTTTGCTCAAAAGTTTTCTCCAAGATTTTAATTAGGGCACAAGGCAGAGAGAACAATGTGAACGATGTAATAAAAAAAAAAAAAATGAAGATACTGTATTTTCTGCCATTTTGTTCACTAAGAATTAAGAAGCAGCTAATGGTATGTGCCTGTATCAGATGTAAATAACAATAAAAACAAAGGGCCTCTGATAATGCTTTTTGCTAAAAAGTTCAGCCGGGTGAAGAAAATTCTGAAAAATGACAGCGACAGAGATCACAATCTCATTAATATCTCTATTCCTGTTATGGATTTAATATAGGATATAAACCGGAGAATTGTAAAATCAGGTTATATTTCACCTTCCAAAGTTTGAATTGATAGAGATTGTAAAAAAATGTTAAAAACAAAACCCACCAGATTTAATAGTAAATATGTCCTGTGAGGGTTTAGTTATCACAAGACTACTTAGCATCTGTTATTCTGTGTAAAAACTGCAAGGCGGTGCAAAGAGTAGACATTTCTTCCTATCTGAGCGTCTTTTGAAAAAGCTTAGCTATGCTGCTCATTTGCTCCTATTAAAGTCAAAATGCTCAGCTTCAGCTTGCAGAAGTCACTGAAAGCCGCCGAACAAATTTGAATCTGCAGTTCTCTTGCTCATCTATGTTATTGCTGGGCCTGCTTGCTAATGGGAAAAAATGGAATCAGTGAAGGTTCTGTGCTTTGAATATGATTGCATATACCGGTAGTGCTTCTCAAGTTCAGTGTGTTTCTTTTGTTTTGCCTCTGTGGTTTTCGCATGTTTGCATATCCAGCCTGTTTGTGACATTTTGAATGTTGAGCATGCAAATACATACAAAGATCCGTGATGACTCCATTGCAAGTGAGGTGCGGTGGGTCACCTGTGTTGTTCTACAATCATAGGGGCTATGAGCAGGGCCGGATATCAGAAAAATATAGGCTGGTGCCAGTTTTGGTGTCCTACCCACACATGTTTCTTTTAGTCATGATAATTACTATTGCTACACATCAACATCAAGTTTAAATGGGTTGTTTGTACTTTTGTTCCTTTGGTTTTCTCACTTTAGATTTTTTTGTACAGTTTGTACTCAACTTTTTTGGATAATATATTTTTTTTCATGTGTAAGCCATGCAAAAATTTGTGCCTGGCTCAGAGACATCTCTATCCAATAATATAATATTTTAAAACTGACAGTTTTACTTGGTATTTATGTTTCAGTATACTGTAACTCAGATTCTGTGAATGTAATAAATACTCGTTAGCAGGTCACATAGTTACTTTGGCTTGATCAGGGCTCAGAATGTGTCATGACTGACCTGAAAAGGGGATTAGAATAAATTATCTACAAATAGTCTATAATAAAACGTGTGATGGATTTATGTTTCTATGGGATCATAAATGCCCTGTTTGCGCTGATAAACTTTTATGAACCGAAGGAAGCTTGAAAATTTAAGTAAAAATGATCAAATTAGATATTATTTATTAATTTGATCATTTAAATTATTCCACCTCTTGTGGTTACTCATAAAACAATAAATTTGTATTCCTAAATGGTCACTTGATCCCTTAAGTTAAAAATCAAACAGTCTGACTACTAAACGGGAAACCTTGATCTGAATCTGCACCCACTGTTTAAGAACGGAAGCATGTAAAATAAAAGACTAAAAGAAAACAGCAGTTTTAAGTCCGGCCCTGGCCATGAGCTAATGTCTAACACCCTAACCAGCATGACGCAGACAAGACTCTTTTACTGTGTGGGGTTGGTTGGGGAAGGCAGAGCACTGCTTTATTGAGTCTGTTCAGTTTCTTCTACTTGCGCAGGGTGGCAGAGTACTCCTACGCCAACCAGAAAAAATCCAGCAAGAAGAAGAAGCTGAGCAAGAACGACATTCGCCTGGTGCCGCGAGACGTTGAGGAAACAGACAAGATGAATGTGGTGAGTTGCTCATCTCTCACCTCTTCGCTCAACTACTTCGACTACCACCAGCAGAGCCTACCACTGGGCTGCAGGCGCTCCGAGAGCACCTTTCTCAACGTGGAGAACCAGAACTCACGCAATGCGGCCCCCAACCATGGCTATCAGCACACGTTCACAGGGCAGGGTCACCAGCAGCCAGACCTCATCATCAACGGCATGCCGCTGCCAGAGGTGAGATACAATTCAATGTGCTATGATCTTTGGCTGGACTGCATTGGGTGTCAGGGGTGCTATAAAGAGAAAATTCATGTAGTACCATGAAAAAGACTTTGTACAGTATGATTTTAATCAGGTGTTATTAAAAAGGCTACTAGGTCAAACTAAGCCCTAGAAAAATAAATATCTCAAGGTCTAATGACATTTTGCGTTTCATTTCAACCAAAGCATATTATGTTGGTGAAACATTTGTTTATACTTATTGAAGCTGAGCTTTGGCAATGTGTCATTCGAGTGGAATTCTTAAAAGCATATCAGGGTGTGTAAATTTCACTTGAGCTGACCTGCGATAAGCATGCTGTGTCAAGCACAATTTAGAGGCCTGACAATGTAGATTATTTGATCTATCTACTTTTCTTTCTTTCTTTCTTTCTTTCTTTCTTTCTTTCTTTCTTTCTTTCTTTCTTTCTTTCTTTCTTTCTTTCTTTCTTTCTTTCTTTCTTTCTTTCTTTCTTTCTTTCTTTCTTTCTTTCTTTCTTTCTTTCTTTCTTTCTTTCTTTCTTTTCACTCCTCCGCGTTTGAGCGTTTGTTGAGCCACTGCTAAAACAAACAAGAGTTTGTGCACCTGCCAGATGTATTGACTCGGCTAATCAGCTCCACCACACATCATTTCAGGGGCTAACAGAAAGAGTAATCATTGCTTGAATCTGTATGTAGCCTGATTGGCTGCAGTGTTTTCTGCATGGCCGCTCTGCACGGCAAGCTGTCGGGCAGCTCGACGTACCGCATATTGCTGCGGCAGGGCATTAAATGTCTGACTTCAAAGGGTATTCAAGATGACAGGTGTATGCTGAGCAGTTGATCTTTAGTTTATAGATTTCTGTATGTATGAACTCTTCTACTGGATTATTTTGGATGCTGTTCTTAAACCACTTTTCTCATGGGGGGTCTGGACATTTATATGTGTATGAGATAGAAAAAAAGCGCATCAGTCCATGTGCTTTTATGAGTTTTTGTGTCGTGCTTAGTCATATAAAAAGCTCTACCACACACACACACACACACACACACACACACACACACACACACACACACCCACACCTACATCTTCTTGAAATTGATGAGTCCAATCTCCGTTTGACATTCAGTGTGTAGAGAGCGGGTTGTGTTGGCTTGGGAGTGGGGGTCTTAAAACAAGAAACACGGGATAGATATTGATATATTGAGTTGATGATCCAGAGAGATCCAGGCACTATTGGACACTGAGGGGTCAATGAGACCTACTTACAGGCATGCTGATTTACTGGGCTTGTCCATGCTGCTCTGTGTGAGTGTGTGAGCTGGAATAACACAGGTGGAAGGGATGAGAAAGTGTTATTTGGGTGTTGTCATGTGTGGCTCTATCGAGTGTTGCAGATCTTTTACTTTTTATCTTTTATATGTATTTTGGTCTGTATTATGGGATAGGTTAGACTGCAGCGTCGGTGGCTGATTAGTTAAACAAAAAGGGGAGAATTTGCAGGTGTGTTATATTTGACTTTATTAAATCATGCAATAAGAGACTTTATCTGGTGTAGGAAGGAAATCTGACAATTATAGAGAGGCAAAGAATGTAAAAACTAAAGTGATAGACAGAACCAGGAACTATCAAAATGTAAATCTCTTGTCTCCTCTATCTTTCATGTCAAAATGTTATAAAATATTTGCTACTTAGGTGTCTAAGCCATTGCACATCAAATATTTCTCTTTCGATTATTAGTTTAATTATATTGGGTCAATGAGATTGAATCAATAAAAAGTGATTAAATCTGTCTTATGACATAAATGCATGTTTGTTTTGGTTCATTTTTTTTTTTACATATTGATTGTCACAGAAAAAACAAAAAAAGAAACCTATTAGATCCCTGATCAAACACAGATATGTCTTGCTGGTAAATTTTGTGTACCAGAGGCATGAAACCAAATGTCTTTACAATCAAAGCAGGTAAAGTAGAAACACCCATCCCCAATCCCCCTCCAGACAGATCCACTGTTTGAACCTAAAAGTGTATTAAATGACCAACACAGAAGTACACAACTGTGACTGTGTTCTTTTTAGGTAATTGCCACTATTTCACAGCCAATACATATTTGATATGTTTTTAAGAAAACTGTCAAAGATTTCTCGCAAAGTGGTGCATCTGTAGCTGAAATATCTGAATCTGCTTTAGAGTAAGGATTAGGGCTGCCGTTATTTGTTTCAGGCTAATGAAAGAGAGGAGAGGAAGACAAATAGGATGGGAGATTGATTTTGATGATTCATTATGCAAAGCTCAGAGTTGTCTTGATGGAGCTATGTGAGGGCAGATAGACAGATAAGGAGGATGAAGCTCAAGTCTTAGTGCCAGGTGTCCACATTTTCTCATTTTCTAAGGGCCAGTTGATTGGCTTGATAGAGAAGGGAGCTGTTTAGCATGCAGCTTCCACCTCTCTCCTTCTTACACTTGATGTTGACAAACATCTCTTTGACTGAGTCTGTGCACATTTTATCTGGACTGAGAAAAGCCACCGTGTGTGTGTATGTGAGATCAGCAAAGCAGGGGAGAGTGGCAGCATGAGTGAGGCGTAGCCTCCAACAGACTAACACCACACAACACCAGTTGTCACTGTTTTCTCTCCTCCCCACTGTGACATTTGCTAGAGACAGAAGCCATCCAGTATGTACAGATGCGCCTCTTAAATAAAAAATGTGTTTGGGTTAATTACGATTCCATTTATAGAACAAACAAACAGCAGTGGAATGACTGATAATTGCTTTGTTGCAATAAATAACTGTGTGTTTGTGATAAGAGTGTATTCTTTGTCCCCTTAAAAAATATATTTTTATCCTTCGGGCAACCTTAAAATCACACATCATTAATGAGATTTGTGTGATTTTAAGGTTTGTTTTCCCAGAGCAGCTCACATTTGAGACAGTCATTATTAGGGATGGACCACATTTATTGATTTTACCCAACTACAATTTTCCATGTAAAAATGTAAAAAGCTGAGGGTTACAAATCAACAAGTGTCAGAACTTTAGATCTACCTCAGAAATCAAAGTAAATGATATATATATATCTATATATATATATATAGATATATATATATATATATATATCTATATATATATATATATATATATATATATATATATATATATATATATATATATATATATATATATCACAGTGCTGTACATATTAAAATGAGTAACAATGATACAAATAAATAAATTGCTTTGATGCTTCTTGTTATTGCTGTTTTCTAATTAACCAAGTGGTATGCAACAACTAATCAGGATCATTGGCATTTCCCCAAAGTTAATTTTTGGGTTGAAAAAGTTTCAATACAACTTCCCTAAGCAATGGAAATCCCTTTAACTGAGGTTTCCAAAATGCTTGTCCAACTCCATGTCTGATCGTTGTCATGTTCCTGAAGTTTTGGGTGAAGGTTTTAACTTGTTGTCATGTTTTCAGCATTTCTTGCGTGCATTCTAACAGTTATGCAGTATACAGTTATGTTTGACTTTCTGGCTTTGCTTTATCAGAGCATTTCTTTGGGCTCATTTTAGTTTATAATTTGCAGTTACTTTCCTTCTTTATTCTGGTGTTCTTTGTAAAAGCTGTACAAATTTTAATGGTTTTCTCTGTCTGTCTGGCTCTACACTTCTGCCTGGTGCCTCCCTCTGCCTATGCTGCCTCCTTCCTTCTAAATGGTGCTTCAGTTTATCATTTCCTCTTCTCTTAATGTTGTATATCATTGGTTCTCTTAGGCCAGCTTTGCTTAGCTCCATTCCGTGTCTGCTCCGTCGTCTGTCACAGGATGTTATGTGCACCCACCCACACTGAATGCATGTAGGATCTGTTCAGGCATCCAGACTGCCTCTCCTCTTATTTGGAAATTTACTTGTTTGGATTTTATGCTTAAATATGTCTGGTATCCTGTTGTTATTATAAATAGAGCTTTTTGAAGTTTTTGTTTTAGGATTAGCTATGTCTTTATTTGATTTTTTTATATGTTGCGTTTTCCACATGCTTACAATTAATAATGGCCATTAAAACGAAAAATCATCCGGGTCAGTTTCTCTGGTTTTAAGTCCTCATAGCATGGTCAGTTGTATTTTTTTGAGAATGTAAGGCTACAGTTTTATTTATAATTTATGAATGTCATTAAATAAGCGTTCTTGTCTTTTGTTTTACGTAGGCCAGTAAGAATCCTGCTTACTTCAGGGGAGCTTGAGTTGAGTTTTCCTCTTAAAGACAGGTAGAAACAGAAGACATGACCAAAATAACAGTGACAAGTCTCCCTGAATACTTCATACCTGCAGTTACATTGTGTATTTTGCATTCCTCCATGTTACTATGTAAACCCATAGATACCTTCTTGAACACGAGTATCCTTTGTCTTTAAAGGTATCAGCTGTGAGACCTGCCTGTTGTAACACTAATATGGACACTCACGGGAGAATAAAGCAGTTTTTCATGGCTCAGTTAGAGTGAATTGCTTAGTGTTGGAGACAAATATACAGTAAAGGAAGGGTATTTGGCTAGAATGTGTTTTTGAATTCGTAATGAGTTATAAGGCTTCTCACACCTGTGAGCCCTGATAATGAACAGGGATGAAAAACAAATGATCTTAATATATCAATTAGCATGATTCAGATAGGAAAATTATTATTTTTCCTTTAGAGGGATGATAAATCAATCTAAAAAAATTGGCAAGTGAATTTTAATAAAGGAGGTTGATCGCCTGGCTTGTTGTGAGATATTTAGTATTCAGCTGAGACTGAGTCCCAGGAGTAAAAGTTACATGATAACTGAAGCATTCTTGCTCCAGATGCTCACTGTGCTGCTCTTTTTGTTATGGTCTAATGAGTTTGATGATTTTAAGGGGTTTTAATGTCAGATGGATATCAGTGATGTTTCTCGCCTAAACTAGCCAGATTCTGTTAGAAGAGAAAATAAAAAGTGAAACAAATATACTGAAATGGCTGC